GTCCGTCCCGTCCTGGCTGACGTTTTCGGCATCTCCCTCTCCTTCTTTTGAGTTTTGACCGAGCTGTCTGTTCGAATTTGCTCCGCGTGACCGGTCCCTCGGTCACGCCACCTCCGTTCTGCAGAGCAGCAACGTTGCTTCGAAACAAACGGGAATCGCTCCATGACTGGAAAACGGAAGAAACCGAAATTTACTTCCGCATAATTTGTAGACACCCGCAAGTTGCTACAGTAAAAAAATGGTATGTTGTAGCACATTTCAAAATAAAATAAAATTGCTACGCCCTGCATTTCAAAGGATATTTTTTATATGCACCGTGGTAATCGGTACTACCTCCGTCCGGGTTTTCAAGTCCCCTCGACAGAAACACGTATCAATGTAGAATCTATTGCACCGCACGAGATTTACTAGCAGAGCCCCAGCCAGCGCGGCATGCATGTCCTCTCTAAACAAGGCAATTAGTGCATGCATGCAGAGTAGTACTCTCTCTCTCTCTCTGGAGCATGATTACCTTTTCTCTCTCTTCCTTGAAGCCTTTTCACCTTTTGCATAACAGTCGAGACATTGGCTTTATAAATATGGTATGTCTGTCCGGTGCTTACGGGACTTGAAAACCCTGACGGAGGTAATTCATAATTAACATGCATGTCATTCATTTTCGTTTTGTATCCTTAGCTATGATGAGCTTGCTCTGGATTGTGCGGATCAATTTTTTTTTTTACTTTTTGCCCTCAGGGACATGGCTATGTAAGGAACTTCTAATGATTTCATTATTGAAATCAGGGAGGCATCCTTTCTTTCAAAAATCTAACTAATAAGATAAATAAGGTTCATTGACTTCTCTTCTTCTTCTTTTTTTTTTCGAGAAAACTTCCTACCTTTTTATCTTCAACCATGGTAGTACAAATAATATCAGAAATAATAAAAATCACATCCAGATCTATAGACCACATAGCAACGGCTACAAGCACTGAAGCAAGCTGAAGGCGTGTTGCCTTCAGCGCCTCTCCCTCGCCGGAGCCGGCTAAAACTTGTTATAGTAGACAGTCGGGAACTTGTCGTGCTAAAGCTCCATAGAACGAGCGCACCACAATATCAACCGCCGCCGTTTTAAAGAGTAGCGTAGATAGAAAGAATCCAACATGAAGACACACGAATATAGACGAACTACGACCAAATACGAGCAAATTCACCAAGGACAAATCCGCCGTAGACACACCTCCGCACGCCCACCAACGATGTTAGACGCATAACCGGGGAGGGGGCTAGGCGGGAAGAACCTTGTTCCATTTTCAGGGAGCTGCCACCGTCTAGACACAAACCCAAACAAAACTCGAACCAGCATCTAAAAAAAGAACCCCCCCGCCGACAAGGGTCGGGATCCACCGCGCCGCTATGGCCCTAAGGCCACCGGAGACGAGGCGAACTGGCAACAGCGCTGGCGGGAGGCAGAGGAACCCTAAGCCTTTTTTTGGGGGGGGGAGGAGGGGTGGTGGTTTCATTGATGTCTCTTCATCAGCATGCAAATACCTCATGTGTCAAAATAATCTAATCAAGCACAGTTTTGATTATTACTACTCCGTCTCATAATGTAAGACATTTTTTGACACACGAAGGGAGTACAAAGCAAAATGGAACAAAACGAAATAGTTAGGTTGGCATTTTACAAAGAATATGAGCAGATGATGTGCTGCAAGTAACATTGCATTTCTGAGACTGATCCATCAAAATTGTCGGCGAAATATGGTTGTCGAAATGTGGTTTCCTATTCAGTAGGTCCACACCTAAACAAGGTTTTGTGTACCAAGCGAAAAAAACGGTTATCGCGCGGTAAGCGCAAATCGCAGTACCCCACAATAAATTGCCTTACTGAGCAAAAAAAAAAACTTAAAATTTTAAATTTGAATAAATTTTGGACTAATTTTAGCCTGATTCAAATTCATTCAAAATGATTCTCCCATAACCATCCGGTATTTTTCGGTCACCGATCTTGATGCCCCATGAGATTTTTTTTTGCTTCTCTGGGATCCAAAACCTTGAACCTAACCAAGTTTGAAATATATAGAACATCCATTCATTTCAAATAGAACTATATCGTTTCAAAAATATGAGAGCTCATGTCTTTCAGGTGCCACCTTCAATTTTGTAATTGGTCAAATTTAAGGAATCTGCCAGGCAATAATAAACAGAAATATTGTTGGTGTTGATGTACTTGGGTAACATATTTCTGCTGAAGGACTAGTTGGATAGCATTTCAATTTCAGTGACAAGTCAATTTACAGCATGCTCACTTGGTAAGACATAGCAAGCAGGGTACTTCATATCATTCTTGTTGACTAGTGAAAGGCAAAAGCTTATCATGGTGAAAAGCCGTCCCAGTTTTATGTCTGGGATAAGAGAGACCAGGCAAGGTAATGGAGTAGTTCAGACAGGGTAACTACAACTCTACATATATACAGTAGCAGTCAAGCACTGAAAAACTGTAAAGAGCATATTCAGTTAGCAAACTTAATTCGCTTAAAGCTGTAGCATGATGTAAATTAGCCACAGTTTGAGAACACAAGCCAGAAACTAAAAACGGCATCATCTTTTTGACAGCCATGTGTAACTAAGCATGCGTGATTTGAACAAAAGCAGTTGGAATTAAGGATAACAGTAGTATTGTAGCATAAGTATTGGAGAATTAAGACAAGTGACATAGTGACTTGGAAACATAGCTGAAAGTAACTTCCCATTTTAACTATAAATACTGTACAGATCAGTTGCATATAAGGTATTTGTATGGCACTGATTAAGCTTGCATCACGCCATGTATATGTAGCAACAAAATTACAAGCAAGGGCACTTGGACACGGAATGACAAAGTTGAGGCTAACTGTCCGAGGAGACCTCTCTACCGACTCATGCATTCTTTAGCACCTTCAAAATCTTCAATGCAACAGTGCCAAATAGTCTGCGGGGTCGATTCATACTTGAGACCTGCGGGATTCTTCTTGCCATTAGACGTACATTACTCATTGCCGGCATAGACAGCTCACCGAGCAACTTGCTTCCATTGTTATGGATGGGTTCACAATCTGGCAGATGCAAAACACCATCTTGTGCATAGACTGGATTCAACTTGACGGGATGTCGGTGTGCTAGCATCGATCTCCAAAACGGGAAGAAATTGTACCATGTGCTTTCATGCTGCCAACGTCGACCAAGTTTACTTGTAGCTGCCTTTTTATCTGCAGGATACCGATGAGGCGTCTCTGCAGCTGCCTCAGCTCCAACAGCAACCCCATGGGTTTTAGGCGCCTCACCATCGGTCATCGGCCACCATTTATAAGGACAGAGGTCCTCGATACGGATACCTTCTCCGGTAGGGGAAAACCCATGATCGCTGAGAATCTGTGAAACGTGTTCAAGGACCTTTGTTTGAGGTACCTCTTGGTGCGTCCGAATGTATGAATCGAGAGCCTTACCGGCTTGGGAAATTATTCTGACAAGCAACAATGTAGATGACAAATATTGACACTTCGCCTCCAGGTCCAGCAGTTGCTCCCTGCTTCGAAGCATCTCCAATTTTGTGTCAATGATGTGTTGACCGATGTGAGCGGTGATTATAGTAAAACCATAAGCTACACTCTTACCATTGCAGCGACACCCCACACGGATATGTGCTTGAGCTGCCAGGAGCAACACTGCAGTTTGCAACAGTTTTCCATCGTTTATGTAATTGCATACCTCATCAACTAGATTATCTGTGTGCGCAGCAAGCAGTCGAGTCGTATCCAAGAAAATCTTCATCTCGGGTAGGCACAAAAGATGAATAATCCTGTAGACATCGGCATCTGTCGGCGGCGGGTAATTGGAATCCTCCTTGGGGAGTAGTAGATTGTCGCCATGCCGGAGCAGCAGCCTGATCATCTCAACAGAGAACCTCTCCGCGGCTTCGTGCAGGGGGAAGTAGCCATACTGGTTCATGTAGTTGGGATTGGCGCGGTGCCCTTCGAGCTCGGGAGCCTTGCCCTCCATGGCAACCTTTGCGCACCGCAGGGCGTCCTCAACGACCATGTGGTTGAAGGCCTCTGGGATGATGATGGAGCCATAAGTCATGCAGTCGTCCCGGCACTCTGCGAACAGACGGAGGAAGCGACGGACGCTGTCCTTCTCCAGGACGGGCAGCAAGCGGGGGTACACCCCATGGTAGAACTGAGAATTCGCCTCCGGAGGAGTACGGTCCGGGACGATCGTGTTGGACGCTCTGGAGGTGATCAGAAAGGATGTTCTTCGACGAACAAACTCCTCAGGAGTACAACGGCCGTCCCAGTGCATGGGATACGGAGGATTCCATGGATCGATTTTGATAACAGTGGTGGGCTTACCGTTGTCCACACGAGAAGCAGCTTTCGTTGCATTGTTTTTGTGTCTTTTCGCCATTGTTGCACGATTGGGCTTGGAATTTCCACGTACACTGTTGGCCACGTACGGTCTCACGGATCAGTTGGTTGCGATCCGCCGGCATGGGCAAAGGAAAGGGGAGGCTGCCGGAGGAGTTGGAGGGGAACGCCGCTGCGCCGGGTAGGTTGGGTTGCGGAAGCGGAGCACGATGAGGCCTTGTTCGGTTGACAGGGATTTAGGAGGGGTTTGGCAGGGTTTGAGGTGGATATAATCTCTTACAAGTCAAAATCCATCCAAATCCCCTCCAATCCTCTTCACAAGAGGTGTAACCGAACAAGGCCTGAGGGGGGCGGGGGAGGAACGCGAGCTGGATCTGCATGCGGCCGTCGCTGTTCGGAGGAGAAAACCTAGCGCCAATGGACGTCACGAGCGCATGCGCGAGAGCCGTCCGATGCGCCCGATCGCCCCGACCGCGCGGAATCCGTCCCGACCAGGTGTCGTTCGGGATAAGGCGAGATCACGTGCGGTGTAGTGGTGGGCCCGGGCTTTAATTCAGGTGAAACCGTCCGCACCGTCTGCTTGGCTTGTTCGAAACTGCCCCCATCGCATGTTCCTCCTTTTCATTCGAACTTCTCCCTCTCCTTCCTCTCCTCTAGCACCGATGCACGGCGTGAGGTTCTGTGGTTGTGGATCCCGCGCGGAGTCACTGGTGTCGGAGGCCGTCCGCGAGCGCGACGAGTCGCCGGCTACAGGCGGAGGTAAACCCCCTCTCCTCCCCGGTTGCGCTCCAAATTTGGTGGGGAGTTCGTTTGCAGCGTTAGGGCTTGGGTGACGGGGCGGGTACGTAGGTCGTCCATGGCGTCTGCGGGCTCGGCGTTGCCATGGCGGGGGTGGGGGAAGGTGAATTGAAAGGGCGAAGGGGCAGGGGTAAGGGGATGCATCTGACCGGATCCTGGCGACCGGCATAGGTTCATTTTTTTTATGTTGCTCGAATCCCCGGATGCAGTTGTGTAGAAATATGATGGTAGTTGCTTTAGTTTTTCATGCAATTTGCGAGATGGGAGGGGCAATCAAACTTCATAGTATCCACAGTTGCAGCGAAATAGGACAGCAATTGCCTTTTGTTTAACATTAAGCATCACTGTTTTCTGAGAAGATGGCTTTTGTTGTTGGTCGAATTTCACCATTGCCATCTCATTTCCTATCGAAGTGTCTAGATTCCACCACCAAGTTGTTATCATTTTTACTGTTCTTTAAATTAGTGAAGTTTGCGTACCAAACAGGCTGTATGTGCCTAGATTTTTTGACCACCAAGTTGCTACCATGTGGTTGGTCAATTTTAGTGATGTTATTTATCATTTTTATCCTTATAAGTTGCCTACAAACAATATGTAGTTGCCTAAATTCACCATCGAGTTGTTGTTTATCGTAACTATCAATAGAAGATGAGATATCATCACGAATAACTGGCAACTTTAGGATTATTGGTGATGAAGATTTTTGTTATGGTTGGTTGAATCCAACAACACTGTTTTATAGTTTGTTTGATGGCTAGCTATGTGATGAAGATGAACATGTGCTTGTTTTGTGATGAGGAGTAATATCTGTTGGTTTTACCTCTTTTTTTTGTTGCTACAAAATAGTGAGTAGTTGCCTAGTTTTCAGGGGTCGATGACATGTGGGGCCAGGTCCCACATGGCAGTGACTGTACAGCATCGTACAGTACTGCAGAGGATTCTAACCTAGTTTTCAGCACCAAGTTGCTTCTGCAGGTACTAGCACTTAGCAGTTGAGTTATATCTAGGTAGGAGTAAATGGAGATCAATTCACCTCCCAATGATAGTGACGTCACACTTGTTTTTGTCTACAAGCAGAACTTGTGTTTTTTCATCAACATGACATTTTTGTGTATTTCTTTTTACAGAATGGCACGAAAAAGCAGAAGGACTATAGGAAGAACTGATGGTGAAAATGAGGGAGAAGAGGTGGTGGCTCAAACAGCAAGGAGTAATGTTGGACGCAAGCGCAGGTGAACGAATGAGGATCCTGTCAGGGGTGGTGGGGCAGGGAAATGGGCCACCGATTGTGCCCGGGGTGGTCAGGCGGGGAAACGGGCCACCGATTCCGGCCCTCGTGATGAAGGAGGGAGGTATCCGAAACGTGCGAAGAAAGTCGGGCACGAGGTATTTTTTATGAAAAACTTGAAAGAAGGGATGTTTTTTTAGTCTTTTTTTGAAATATGTAATGCTCAATTTTTTTCCTAGGGTTTGATACATGTGTGGTTGCTCGAGGCGGGGACATTATATGCCTTTTTGATATCTAATGCTTTTTGTGCCCTGGGGGTTTTGATACTTGTTTGCTGTTTTTCCGTGTTTTGCCTTAATGTTGATTCTTCAAAAATCACCATGTCATTTGTATACACTCTTATCTTGGATAAGCAGCAGAATAGCAGTATAACAGTTGCCTACTTTAGTGCTAGCAGTTGCAGTTCAATATAGTTCTAGTTGCTCAGTTTTTAGCAAACACAACTCGCTTTTTAATATGGTGTAGTTTGCTTAGTTTAGTACAGTGGGTTGCTCGGTTTAATATAGTGGGTTGCTCAGTTTTATATAGTTGTAGCCTCTGTCCTCTTTTTAATATGAATTCTTCTGTATATTTTTACGCAGATTGGTAGCAGTGGGCCACCACCGAGGAACATGGCATCACCTTCAAGACTATTCGTCCTAAACAGTGGCCTTGAGGATATACAAAAGGATGCCATCGGTGATATATGCTTTGGCGGCGTGCTTGATATCGGCACAAGAATAATGAAAGGAGATCTTGTCAAGTTTGTCATGAAGTGTTATGACCCAGAGTTGTTGCAGCTTGTTATCCCAGATAGGGGACGAAAGATACCAGTTGATACAGCAAGTGTAGAAAGGATTTGGGGCTTGCCAAGGGAGCAGAAGAAGGTTGCATATGAAGTGGAGCCAGACATAGTTAGGTCGTTCAATGGGATGTACAACATCCCCACAGGGCCCGCGCCAACAGTCGTTGTCGTTGTTCGTTGTTGTTGTTGTTGTTGTTGTTGTTGTTGTTGTTGTTGTTGTTGTTGTTGTTCTGAAATGTTCTTCGATCGAGTGGGGGCAAGGGGCCGGTTATTTTCCCAACCACCTAACCAACAGAAAAGGATATATCTCTACTACTCCTTCCTCGGTTTTTCCTCCCACAAATACCTAAATCAAATCAACGTTCTTTCTCGATTTTTACTCCACACGACCCCCTCCGTCCTTGATTTTTTGTTGATTTTTTGGTACTCTCAACCAATGCTGCACAAAATTAAAACCAACATACATAGAGTAACTTGAAATAATCTAAACCAAATCAATACGTTCCAGAGAAAATCACATGGTGCATTAACACAATCAAATCAATCTTCCCAAATTCACAACTGAATCCAAACTTTCCTTTTCTTCTCATACAAACACCCAAATCAAATCAAATCCTATCAAATCTCAACTAAATTAAAACTTTCCTTGCATTCCCTACCCATACTAAAATCAAATTAAATCTTATCAAAATCTAGAATATGTGTTAGATATATGGTTTGTCTAGGGCACATCTAGTTAGTGCACATCTAAGTGACTTAATCAAGCATAAAAGGAAAAGAAAATATCCACACAAATCTCCGCATAAGATTATGTATGCGCCCACTGAAACACACGGGGAATTAGCTAGTAGCAGTAAGAAATAGGAAAAAACTCCCCGCAAAAAAAAGGAGAGATAAGAAAAACCAAAATACAAATGCATGTAGATACCTATTTTGATTTGTTTTCCGGGAATGCATCTACGTACATGACTGGATTGTGACGTGCCCTTTACATCTTGTCGTTCAAGAACGAGATAGATTTGGGTTTCTAGATTTCTGCCAGGAACCCAAACCCACCACAACTCTTCAAAATCAAATCAAACAACCGACATATCCAACCTTTGAATTGAATTCATCATCAGATAAGATTTACCCTTCTGGAAGGCAATTAGTTGCACGCACGAACGTCGAACTCCACGACGTCCACGTACATCTCTCCGCCTCCGCCTATAAAAGATCTCGTACATCTCCACCCGAACCACGAGTCCACGACATCGAAAACCCAAAACCCAGAGCTAGCTAGCCGATCGATCTACGCGCCATGGAGACGTCGCTCCTCATCGCCGGCGCCCTCCTCCTCCTCTCTCTCCTCGTCCTGCTCCGCAACGCCGCCGCCCGACGCCGCCTCCCGCCGGGCCCGCCGGCGTTGCCGCTGTTCGGCAACCTGCTCTGGCTGCGCAACTCCGCGTCCGACGTGGAGCCCCTCCTTCTGGGCCTCTTCAAGAAGTACGGCCCCATCGTGACGCTCCGGATCGGCTCGCGGCTGTCCGTCTTCGTGGCCGACCGGCACCTCGCGCACAAGGCCCTCGTCGGCGCCGGCGTGGCGCTGGCCGACCGGCCGCGCGCCGCCACCAGCTCGCTCCTCGGCGTCACCGACAACATCATCACCCGCGCCAACTACGGGCCCGTGTGGCGGCTCCTGCGCCGCAACCTCGTCTCCGAGACGCTCCACCCCAGCCGCGTCAGGCTGTTCGCGCCGGCGCGCGCCTGGGTGCGCCGCGTGCTCATGGAGAAGCTGCGGGAGGAGGACACGCCCGACGTCATGGAGGCGTTCCAGTACACCATGTTCTGCCTGCTCGTGCTCATGTGCTTCGGCGAGCGCCTGGACGAGCCCGCGGTGCGCGCCATCGAGGAGGCCGAGCGCGCCTGGCTGCTCTACATCTCCAGGAAGCTCACCGTCTTCTTCTTCCTCCCGGCCGTCACCAAGCACCTCTTCCGCGACCGCCTCCGGGTCGCGCACGCCCTGCGGATGCGGCAGAGGGAGCTGTTCGTGCCGCTCATCCATGCGCGGCGGGAGTACAAGCGGCTGGTCAGCGAGGGCCAATCGCCGGCCAAGGAGACCACGTTCGAGCACTCGTACGTGGACACGCTGCTCGACGTCACGCTCCCCGAGGAGGGCGACCGCGCGCTCACCGACGACGAGATCGTAGCGCTCTGCTCCGAGTTCCTCAACGCCGGCACCGACACCACCTCCACGGGGCTGCAGTGGATCATGGCCGAGCTGGTCAAGAACCCGGCCGTCCAGGACAGGCTCTACGACGAGATCAAGGCCATCTGCGGGGAGGACGGCGCGGAGGAGGTCTCGGAGGAGAAGATCGACGCGGCCACCATGCCGTACCTCAAGGCGGTGATCCTGGAGGGCCTGCGCAAGCACCCGCCGGGGCACTTCGTGCTGCCGCACAAGGCGGCGCAGGACATGGACGTGGGCGGGTACCTGATCCCCAAGGGCACGACGGTGAACTTCATGGTGGCGGAGATGGGCAGGGACGAGGGCACGTGGGAGAAGGCCATGGAGTTCGCGCCGGAGCGGTTCCTGGAGGCCGGCGACAAGCTGGCGGCGGTGGACCTGTACGGCAGCAAGGGGATCAAGATGATGCCGTTCGGCGTGGGGCGGAGGATCTGCGCCGGGCTGAGCATCGCCATGCTGCACCTCGAGTACTTCGTGGCCAACATGGTCAAGGAGTTCGAGTGGCAGGAGGTGGCCGGCCACGAGGTGGACTTCGCCGAGAAGCGCGAGTTCACCACCGTCATGGCCAATCCGCTGCGCCCGCGCCTTGTGCCCAGGAACTAAGAAAACAGTAGTCCATATTTCCTTTTAGCTTAATTTGCACTAGATGTTTTAAGTGTGTGATTAGATCATCATAATGAACATGTCTACTACCTAGTTTAAGAGAGAAGTGCTGTCTTTTACAGAGAGAAATGTTTAGAGCTAGCAAGGAACATTGTTGGAGTATCAGTTTATAATGCAGTGTTTAGGTTTGCCAATTGTAATGCTTTTTATTTCCTGCTTCAGATTACAATAGTGACCTAAGTTACCCATGGGCAGCATTGCATGATAATAATATTAATAACAACATCATTCATCAACACAATATTCGATCTATGAATTTAGGAAAAGATCCCATTCTGATCTCAGCAGGCAGCTGGTTGGCCAGATTTGTATAACACTAGTTTTTAGGTTGTTTGTAATTTACCTTTTAACACAATTTTCACAGTAGGCCACCTCCTGTTTTCTACTACTCCCTCCGTCCGGAAATACTTGTCGGAGAAATGAATGAAAATGGATGTATTTAAAACTAAATTGCGTCTAGATACATCCATTCCTCCGACAAGTATTTTGGGACGGAGGGAGTACAAAATATCATACATTTTCCCTTCATCAAAGAAACTTTTCTGATGAATATTTCAGTCATCCAATCTAGAACACATGCACTCTACAATAGTTCTAACATGAATTCTGCTTTATATTGGATATGGCAGGTAACAGCAACATAAAAGGTATGCTCTACATCAACACATACCGCGATAACCAATACTATCAAATTAACATAAAAGGTCCGTTTTCCAGTTATGCAGAAGCATTTAATAAGATAAGAGAGCTCATAAGTTTCCCATCATCAGCATGCAAATATCCAATCAAGCATATCCCAAATTTGTTGAATACAAAGCAAAACAAGTCAGAACAAAAAACACTTTGGGCAATAACATTTTTACAAAGAACATAAGCATGGTCTCTTGCAGCTACAATTCTCCGAAATATGTAAGAACATCTGTCCTTTCAAAAAGAATTGCATCAGCCGGAAGAACAAGCCCAAAATTGTCACAGAATTTCCCTAAAATAAGAGCTCTTGTCTCACAGATACCACCCTCAACTCTGTTGTTGGTCAAATTTAAGGAATCTGCAAGACAAAAGTAGTAAACAGAGATAGGTTTAGTGATGACATACTTGGGGAACACTTCTGTCGAAGGATTACTGGATAGCATTGCAATTGTGGTGATAAGTCAATATACTGTATGGTCACTTGGTAAGAAATAGCAAGCACCATGCTTCAGTTCAGTCATGATTTGTTGATAACATTTCAGGATATTACTAATGAAAGACAAATCCTTATCATGGTGAAGAAGCATACATCATTTAGCTTTCCCATAATTTTATGTCTGGGATAAGTCAGACCGGGTAATATGTAGTATTTCAGACAAGGCAATACTACTATGTGTAGCAGTCCAGCATTGAAGACAGAACCAGCGATTAAGAGTAAAAAAGAAGTAGAAGCCAAATCAGCCACCATGGTACTGCTTCATTGACTAGTTGCAACTTGCAAGTCGCAACATATTCAAGCATCATATGTGCAGCATGATTGGAGAGAAGGAAGTTTCCTGTCATGCAATCAGGCACGATCTGTACATACAATCCTGACAAGTTCGATTTAAGGATAACAATGATGGAGTATAACTATTGAACAATTAAGATAACCAGTTCAACATACTGATTTGGAAACATGACCTATACTTTTTTGTTTGTGCAAGTACCACATTTTATGGGGAGTGTAGGAGAAATACAGAATCATGCCACAAGAAAGAAAATGATATGACAAAAAAATCAAACGGAACAGGAAAGGTACCCAAACAAGAAAGAGTTACTTAAGAGAGAGAGAGAGTACCGGAGATGAGTTAGTTGTCACGTTTCAGTTTGTCTAGCATTTGTCTACGCGAACCAGCATGTCTGCCAAAGTCTTCCTTTTGCAATCGGCCTTGTTGCTTGAAAGGGTTCCTTCAGTTAATAGATACAAGAACTTGAATAGAAATGACACAGGGCAACAAGAGCAATATATGTGCATCGTTACATCACGACTTGAATGGAAAACAACATATAGGCATTTAACAGGACAATTCCATGTCTATATGCTGACATTAATTAGATCGGCAAAATATTTTTTAACATCATAGACAATCTGATAACCAATGCAATCAATAAAATACATCAGATTCTCTAGCAATGCCAGATTCCACCTTTGATATCCTGAAAAGGTTAAAAAGCAATGCTAACAATGGCCAATTTATAATTCAGAAAATATGAGCCTATCTGGAATTATTAAACCCCCAATGTGTAAGATATCATCACACCCTTCAGAAACTTCAATACAAATGCAACTGGTGTATATTAACAAACAAAATCCTGTGAAATCTAACAAACTGATTATAGGACAGTAAAATTTGGATTGAATGATTCAGTACCAAGTGTATGAAGCTTATATTTACCTGCAGAAGGGATATTGCTTGTGGCAAGCCATGTTGGGAGCACGCACGGTACAAGAAGACTACAGTGGAGCAACTTCTGAAAGACGAATTCCTTAGCCAGGTAACCCCTCCAAATCTCCTTCCCCTTAGCCAGGTCCATGGCAATAACAGCGCTACCATGTTGGAGGTACACAAGGTCGGCATTGAATGGATCTATGGCAGCAATTTGAACATAGCAAGGGTCGTGCCGATCTGTAATTTCAACTCCGTGATCCAGCGCCCAGCTGTAGGTCTCGTCATCCAGCGAAAACGAAAGGATCACGCACCACTTGTCGTGCTTCGGTCCATGGGACACTTGGACGTAGCGCAGCTTCCCCTCGCTGACCCCCATGCGTCGGTACCTGCTCAGCGTCGGGGAATCAGAAACAGGCTGCACGCTGGAGCGCGGCAGCTCGGCGAAGCGGCGCTCCGGCCGGTCGCTGAAGGGGTCGACGGAGCAGGCACCCCAGGCCACGTCCAGCCACCATAGCCGGTCGCCGAACGCCAGCACCTCATGGTTGATCATCATGCTCCGCCCAGGATCCATCTCTAACTCCCCGACCAGCGGCCGCTCGTCCCACTCCCCTGTCTCGGACAGAAACCGGCGAACGACCCTGCGCCACTCCCCTCCCCCGCGGCTGATTTTACTGAGCTGAGCGACCACGTACCTATCCGGCGGGCCGTGTGAGCCTTGAGATTGGGTGAGCAGGCCGAAAGAGGTACTTCCCATTTTGGGGACATCCATGCCCGGGGCCGGGAGGCGGACCAGCTGGCCGCTGAGAGGGTTGCAGACGAAGAGCTTGCCCTCCGGTTCCACGCCGCCGCGGGCCGCGGCGAATTCGTGTGGCCACAAGGGGCGGTGGCGGGCGTCGATGAAGTCGAGGAGGAGAAGGCCGTCGCTGCTGGCGCCGCGGACGATGCCCACGAGGGAGCCCATGTCGTCGCCGTGGGGGGCGACGAGGCGAGCGGGGACGGAGAGGTGGGAGACGCACGGGGTGGTGTTGAGGTCGACGAGCGCGCGCGCGCTCTGCGACGGCGCCCCTGACGCGTCCAGCGCCGCCTGGCTGTTCACCATGGCCCAGGGAGGGCGTGGGGCCGCCGTGCAGAGGGGGCGGCGGAGGGGGGCCGCGACGGCGACGGCGACGGCGAGGCGTCGGGGCAGGAGGGGCATTTTGCTTCTGGAGGAGCCGGTGACTCTGTGTGTGGCAGGCTGGCTGTACGGGGGAGGGCTTTGCGGTTCTGCCCGTGACCGTGAGCGACCTGGGGATGGAGACCATGGAAAAGAAGGGGGGTTTGGTTGGTGCACATGGACTCGGTCCAGGCGGCTCTGACAGCTTTAGTCAAAAGGAGGAGTCCCATTGGGCGTTCTTCGGCTCAGCTCGAATCGGATGTGCAAATCTAGTCCTAGAACAGGTGAACAGGTGAATTCGAACTCTTAAGTTTGTTAAAAATAAAAGAGTTTAAAGCACAGGAGTCCTAGAACTTGTTCTGAATGTGAGAATCTGAATGTGATAGTTTAGTCCTACAATTTAAAATTTGACCCTACCCAGTTCCTCAACTTGCTTCAGATGTGCAAATCTAGTCCCGATGAATCAGAGAGCGCCATGTGGACGTGTGGGTGCATACCCGGTCAGCGCGTGACATTTTGCAAAGACCCCCCTGGCGTTGCTGTGAATCAACCCGCACTACCCACGAAAACAG